AAGAAGAAGAAGAAGAAGAAGAAGAAGAAGAAGAAGAAGAAGAAGAAGAAGAAATAGATTGTTATAGTATAGCACCAAATTGTGCTCGAAAGCAAGCTCTATGTGTTTTTACACTATAGCATTACCCCAGCAGACCATAGAACACTCAGAAACATTCTCAGCTTCCCGGGAAGCGCTCAACGCCAACACAATCTTTCACTGTCTATAGCTGGGTAACCATTCTCACCTGAGTGAAGTGAGGAAAATTCGTGTAAAGTGCCTTTCCCAAGCAAGGGCACAGCGTCGGGCCCGTGACGGGATTCGAACCCACGACCTTACGGTTGCGAGCCTAAGAGTCTGACCACTAGGCCACCGAAGAAGAAGAAGAAGAAGAAGAAGAAGAAGAAGAAGAAGAAGAAGAAGAAGAAGAAGAAGAAGAAGAACTTTGTGAACACTCAGACCTGCACATTTCTATCACACGGATGGCTATTACACACATAATGTACGGTATTACTATTAGTAGATGGATGTTTTTAAAAAACGAGTAGAAACATGGGCGATGTTTTTTATTGGCGGTGCTTTTACTGGTAGGAACCTCTAGGCGTCTCTGGTGTACAGTTGGGTGCTTTGCAGTCGTACTCAAAAGACGGGAGTTCGATTCCTGTGTGTGGCGGTTCTTTATGAGTATCTCTGAGTCCGTCTGTACTATTATATACTGGGACAATGTATCCCTCTCAGCCTAGGTTGGCCCTCACGGGCAGTGTGGAGATTGTTTGCTCCCCAGCAGATGATCTAAATTGTGTCAATGGGGGCGTAAAACGTCTACAACTACATAATTATGTGTCACGATGCGGTGGAATCAGGTGCTCGTCAAATTTTTGAGAATATAAAGTTATTGGTATCATCATGTTCATTTGTCTTGATTTTGGGGGAAAATACACACATCTATCTTGAATAGAAATCGAGATATTTACGATTGAATGAGGTGGGGGTCGCCTGGTATCGGAGGTAACATTAGCGATAAAATAGCCGCCAAAGTTTGGTAATTTCTAAAGCGTGAGAGTCTTTGGGAACAGTAAATTTACGCTTTTTTTTAGGGTGCCTTAAATCAATATTTTTATGTAAAATCTTCCCCCCCAAAAAAGTGCTTTTGAATTGACTTAAAATGTATTGAGTCAAAAAACAAAAATTCGATGAAATTTGCCTAGACGGGCGGAATAAATGCCGGTTTCTTCGATTTCACAATTTTGACGAGCGCCTGATTTCAACAAGATATCTCACAAATCAGGTCTAGGGTGTAGAACGTCATTTGTCCATGACGTACAGCACAAAAAGGACACACACACACACACACACACACACACACACACACACACACACACACACACACACACACACACACACACACACACACATGAGTGCGCCGCAGGTGAACAAATACACAAAACCAAATTGACAAGCAGATAACAATCTGTACACATGCACGAAAAACTTCTTTTATTAATAGATTCCTATCCCAAATAAAAGACATTTCATATAGGGTGATCCAAAAAAAACCTTAACAACTTTTTTTCTAAATATCTCGCTCAAATGTTGTTCTAGAAAGATGAAATTTGGAAGAGATAAACTTAATTCAAAAGAAATTTGTTTGACATAAAATTCATACAGAAGAAACTTATTTTCAGAACGGAAAAAGCATTTTAAAGAAAAAACACCCATAAACGCAATATGCGCCAATAAAAAAAACCACAACACTATCGGGAGGAAAACACATGAGACGATTGATTTGAATTTTGTCTTCTTTTTCTCTATATCATTTAATTGTTCAAACCTTGTGACATTAAACAATTTTTAACTTCTCTTAGGAGTTAGAGAACTAACATTTTTGTTCTGGAATTTCTAAAACAAATGCTCCACATGTCCTCCTTTGGACTCCAAACATCTTTTAACGCGTCGTTTGAAATGCTCGATGACGGCCGAACACAGTTCCTCCAGAATGTTTCTCATTTCATCACGGATTGCTTGTTTCATAATTTCAATGTTTTCAAACTGGTTTGGAAATATCCTGTCCTTTATATAGCCCCACAAGAAAAAGTCTAAAGGGTTCAGGTCAGGAGAATGCGGAGCCCAAATATGTTCACTTCTTCGACTGATCACACGATCTCCAAAGTGGTCAGCTAGCCATGTCATTGATCTGACAGAAACGTGTGGAATGGCCCCATCTTGCATAAACCATTGGTCCTAGCGATCCAAGTGACGGAGTCTCCCCAGGTCCGTCCAGAATTTACCACGACATTTTGTGGTAATGCGTACTCCTGTGTAGTGTAATAAAAGGGGACAAAAGTAAAAAATGGGTTGTTTTTTTTAATGCGCATTATACTGCAGAGTTATTTAGTGGAATCATCTAAAATGAATATCAGTTAAATTCCTTTTGAGTGAGGAATATTGTGTTCAAATTTGAAGACGAAAGCTTCAATGTGGAGGAAAATCTTTACGAAAAAAGCTGTAAAGTTTTTTTTGGATCACCCTGTATGTGCCTGTCCGCCTCTCTGTCTTCGTTTCTGCTGTGTTTCATTCTACGTGGTAGGCCTATTTCTCTTGGCTCGAATTCGTTGAATTAAAAGGGGGCGGGGATTGTTTTGACTTGTGTTGCTGTTTGTTTGGGTTTTTTTTTATAAACCTGAATGCAGAATGGTTGGTACTGCAGTTTCTCAGTACAAAAATAGCGTTGTGTAGCCAAATTCAAATGTGTTCGATGTAAATTGTTTTACGTCATTCCACAATATGATAATTATTTTACCATCGTTAAAATGCAGTTTAACCGGCTTTAACGGTCACCTGTAAAAGTGGCCAGTTCCTAGCCACCCCCCCCCCACCCCACCTTGCGTTTTTAAACACTATGTGTAAGACGTCAAGCTGTTATAGACAATAATTTTACTCCCCGACAGTAGGTGGCTGTCATAGACAATTTCGACTGTACATGTTTTAAAATGTACGCAAACACACACACACACACACACAC